AATTGTACTTTTTTGCATTTTAACAATATTATATTATAATATTTTTAAAGTGAACAATGACCACTTTTTGCGTTTGAGAGGAAATTATTTTTCAGATTTTACGTTGAGGGAAGGGGTAGTTTGCTTAAGTMCGCCCAATATAGTTCTATATAGCGATCAGTGCATTTGGTTTCCATCCGTGGATATACGTCCAACTAATGGAAAACCTTAACAGGTTAGGTGATGATGAGATGAATTTTGTCATGCGTTTGTTACGTTGACGAATTTTTATGGTGGGTGGCTGGGTATATAGGACGCAAAAGATAATTTACAAACCATTATTATGGAATGTGATGAACAGTGTAGGTACAGTGCAATAAAGTGTTATCATTATTACAATAATATTATATGATGTTGACTGGTCCATAGCAGTCTGAACTGAAAATTGGGTGGGGTTGGAAGAGTAGTTTTATGGATTTCAAACATTGTCTCAGGCAGAGCGCAAAAAAATGCCAATACCACGGCCAGGGTATATTATGTTATTTATTATTATGGGTATGTACCCATTGTACCCATATAATGAATTATTAAGACGGTAAATTAACTTTCAAAAAGTTAATCTCCRTCCGAATTTCCGGGTAAATTTTAGTTAATGAATGATAGCGTGATTAAAATCTGCAATATCTGATTTAAGGAGGAGGTACAAGGGATTAAATGTACTGGTAGCTCATTTTCGAATTTGTTTTAGACGCTACAAGTTGATGTATAGATTTTTCAACTAGATATTAATGTGAACAATGACGGAGAAAAAATTACTCAGCCTCGTTTATTATAAACTGTTATAATTTCAGTTTTATCAATATACTTCGATACTTCAGATCCGATTAATTGGAGTACAAACTTTAAATGCTCTAATTTAATATCATCATCATTATAATCAAACACTAAAGAATATAATATCATTAGTGCATCATAAATGATAATAYTATGTAAATTGTATCGATATTATACCTGCAATATTTTGTGTTTTTATTTTTATTAGAGGCTTCTGATATTATTWGTTGCACCCCGACTTCTTAAAACTTAGATCCGGCATCTATTACAACGAGGCCAATCAGAATCCAACAAAAGACACACGACACTAAATTCACTGTCAAGTCACAGCTTTGGATCTCCACCGCCCATAGATTGTCAACCCACCCTCCCCGCATTGTMCAGCGAACAAGCGACGACACAATAACAAAATATTATTGTCATGAAGTGTGTACTCACGCGGCGTGAGCGTCCGGCGGCGCCATCGGTGCCATAAAGGCGACGCAGGCCAC